GGCAGGAGGAAGGTGCTGTGACTATAGGGTGATGAAGTGGGTTGCAATTGCCATGTCTAGGGTATGTGAGGTGAGTGTCGGGTGCTGTGACCAAGGAGTAGAATGAGAAGGAAGGCCTGTGACCAGGGGGGTGATGTGGGTGAGAAGGAGGTAGTATGCATAGAAATAAGATACACAATAGATTAACCATAAACGGAGTCCATTTTGAATGAAGTGTCATACGATAATATCTTTCATGTCATGTGTTGAAATTACCATACTTACCATCTTGTCTTGAATTGTATTGTGATTGTAATGTCTTCCTTATATTGTAAAGCGCTGCGCAAACTGTTGGCGCTCTATAAATCCTGTATGATAATAATAACTATTATTATTATTATACGTGGTTCCCCATGATCATGTTGTTTTAAATGTATGCCTTTGTCTTTGATGGGCAAAATATTAGCTGTGTAAGCGTTACTTGCTTGATGAAGCTGTGCAAATAAATGCAACTGCCACTTTTAGCAGAATGGAGGGATTTGGCATATACAGTATACAGTATGTATTTTAACTCTTTTGCTGCCAATGCCATTTTTGCACACGTTTATAAACCACAGCATGAGTTATTTCCTGGAAGCACAGACCCTAAAGAAAAAAATGGCGGCAGTTGCAAATTTTTTCATGATATTAGCGTTTTCCTGATTGCTCGGGAAGCCGGTTCCATGTTGTTGGGCCGCCTCGATTTTGATTGGCTGGGAAACCGGCTTCCCAGCCAATCAGCAGCGAGCCGGCTTCCCGGCCAATCAGGAAGTAACTTGGTAAGTAAAGATCCACCTCTTGGCTTCAAAATTGGCAAGGAAGCCAGCTCCATGCTGATTGGCTGTAAAGCCGGCCAGCCAATCAGCATCGAGCCGGCTATTCAGCCAATCAGCAAGGAGTCGGCTGTTCAGCCAGCTTGATGCTGATTGGCTAGGAGACCAGCTTCCCAGCCAATCAGCATAAAAGTGACTTCCCGGCCAATCAGAAAGCTGGGAGGCGAATCATTACTCGCCACCTGGCTTCCTCCATGTTTCCCTATGGCACTTCCAGTCAGAGGAAATTCCCTTCTGACTGGAAGTCCCAGTATCGGGGAAGGTATTGGAGCATTCGGGCGGTACGAGTACTCGCCCAAATACTTGGTATCGGCAATGATACAATACTCGTATTGGTATCGGTGCATCCCTAATTAGTGCAACTATTTCAGTAAAGAATACACATAAGTTAATTTAAGTGCACAAAAACATAATATAATACCCAATTCTTTGTAAAATATAAAGGATGAGGATGTGCCAAGTAAATAGATACCCAACATGTGCAGGTTAAAAACTGCGTGCATCTGTAAAATGGAAACAAAATACGGTACCCCAAATTGTCCATAGGCTATGCTTTAAAAGCCCGTACAGATCAACAGTTTAGAATTATCCGTGATAACTGGCAGATGCGGCAATGCCCAGCATGTGGTAGTGCAATCGTTGTTTTCATACATAGGCGCACCCAACATGTGTTTATATTGGTATGTGCATGTTCACAGGACCGGGGGACTTTAAACCTTTTTTGGGGGTATTTTTAAGTTTATTTTTGAAAAAAAATTGTTTTACTTAACTCCATTGCTAACACATAGGGGAGCTCCCAAGTCCTCTATGTGATAGCACACCTGAGCTATTCACAATAGCCCATACAGAAGCCGAAGGCAGCTGAACAGCTTAGCCGAGCCGAACGCATATGCTCTGGCTCAGCCGAGCTGAACACATAGCCGAAGCGTGGAGAACGGCCTGCCGAAGCAGTTTTCCCCACAATAATGCAAACAAACAAAAAATGGCATACGGCGTGAACAAATGGGCGATGTCTGCTGTGACGTCACTGCTGGCTCCGCCCATATCTTGCCATTTAATGACAGCCTATTGTCCACAAATGACCTGACGAGTGTGCTCTCATTGAATGACAATGGACGGAGCCATGATGTCGCGGCCGACTCCACCCATTTGTTTTCATTATGCCGGCAAAATGTCATTAGATAGGAGGAGCCAGCAGTGATTTCACCGCTAGCTCTGCCTATCCAATTATATTTTGCTGACATACGTCAAATTGTTAATTCTGTTTGTTGGGTTGGCGGGCACCTGGGTTTGTTTGTTTTTCGATGAGTCATGGGCTGCTAGGGCAATGCTGGACGTCATGATTGACCTTTGGACTAAATCGGTGGATCAATTTTTTGGAGTTTATTTTCTATTAAAGGAACTTTTCTTTATTTACTCTTTTACTTTAATCCTTTAGTGAATGAGTAAGGGTACAAGTACCCCTACTCATTCACAAGGGGGGGCAGCATCTGGGTGCCCTCTTTATTAAAGGGGTTAACCCGATGTAGATAAGCCTCCCTGCCTACAGATCCCCACAACCAAGGGGTCAGGACTTGTGGGGAAGATGCCCTTGTCCCTATAACCATGGGGGGATCCCTGGAAAAGCACCCTTCCAGTGCCGAGGACATATGGCCAGGTATGGCGCAGGGAGGGGGGGTACTCGCTTGCCTCTCTCCCCCCTTTTCTGCCCTGCCAGGCCTGTGCTCGGAATAAGAGTCTGGTTGGGAATTTTAGAGTGGACCACACTTTCATTCCCCCCATTTTTGGGGGGATGGAGTTCCCCTTAAAATAAAAAGATAACCCTTCTTTATGCTTTTCTTCAGTTAAGTCAACAAATCCTCAGCAAAATATTTTACTGACTCCAAAGACTTTTACCAGGTCACAGTTTAATGGGGAGAGACCAGGAAGATTTAATGAAAACCTCACTGTTGAACAATACAGTTTCAGACAGACCGGCCAAAAATATTGTTGACTAATAGGCCCCAAAAAAAGAGGTAAACTGCATAATTTAGCTTTAGCTCAAACATTACAAATTTTACAATTGAGTAACAATACAAGGTTGACCCTGCAGAAAAATGCCACGCTCCTCTGTGCTATGATTCGGCGCTGGGTTTTGCCACCTGTCCAAGGTACTCGGCCTTCTGCCAATCAGCTCTGAACCTCAGTGTTACTACCTTAGGTACTACGAGAGTCACCACAGCCCACCCCTGTGCAGCAACTCTGTCACGTTTTTCTGGAGATCCAAAAGCTTGCCATGGATTTGTGAATCAGTGTAACATTCACTTTGAGCTGCAGCTGCAGAATTTTCCCACTGATCGAGCCAAAGTGGCATACATAATTTCCCTCCTTACTGTTGAAGCTTTGGCCTGGGCCTCTCCCCTGTGGGAGAAGGCTGATCCTGTTACTAGTGACATAGTTGTATTCCTTGCCCTTTTTAAGAAGATTTTCGATGAACCTGCTCTTGCGTCCTCTGCTGCAGGTGCACTTCTGCGTCTCTGCTAAGACAGCCTCTGGGTTGGGCAATATGCCATTCAGTTCAACACTCTTGCCGCTGAGCTGTCTTGGAATGATGAAGCTCTTACAGCAGTCTTCTGGCAAGGGTTAGCAGAACGCTTTAAAGACAAATTGGCTGGAGAAGAGGTTCCTACAAACTTGGATAATGTGATCTCTCTGGCCATTCAAATTGATACTCGCTTTCAGAAGCGTGCCCAAGAGAGGACCTGCCAGCTTAATATCTTTAACTCGTACTTTTACTATATCTGTGACATTTGTTCTGCAATTTCCTGATAGATAATTATATTACTTATGTGTTTATATAATTTGTATAAGTTTCCCATAAGATTTCTTATGCTAAACATTCTTTTTAGACTTCTCACGATACTGTCTGGGTGCCGTATTGTTTCACACGCACGCTGCACGACACACAGGTATGTGATTTGGGGACATTTTTATTGTTGGCCACATCTGTATTTACAATCCCGCTTATTTGCGAACATGTATTTTTTTGTGTGTGGAGGCTAACATATTACAAAGCCCCCTTTATTGTCCCTTCTAACCCAGGTGACCAAAGTTCAAAGGCCCTTGCAGCGCATTATCACTACAATATATTATGGCGAGTGAACTGCCGGGTTGCCGGGTCTGTAAACTCTGAACGGGCTGGGTTCGCCTGGAAATCATAGTTGTGCTGTATGCAGTAAAAGTTTTGTGCCCTAGATAATATAACAAGAATACAAATATAAAGCACTTGCAATAAAAAATAAAATATATGGTATAGTATTGGAGGCCCATTGTGTGTCCCAGTTGGTGGATCATCTCACCTTCTGGTAGCAGTGCTGAGATCCCGTCACCTTACACAGTCAGCTCCTCTGGAGAGAAATGAGATCCTGTCTGCAGTGCCCCCTTTATATAGAGCATCAGTAACGCTTCACCAACCTTTACTTATTCTTTTCATGCTAAGCACCTACGCTTAACACATTACTAATTTTGAAAGATCCGGGACAGTTTCATGAATGACAGCATTTCTCAACCTTTTTGCTGTCAAGGCACATTTTAAAAGTACTGTAAGCAAAGTATGCAAAATCTTGAGGCACCAGAGTCTAAAATGTCAAAAAAGTTCATTTAAAAAAAATGAAGAAAAATAAATGACATGTGCCACCCCCTTCTTAGAATCTATACCAGACCCTTAGCCCTTTAGCTTAGATAAAGGACTGCCCAATGCACAGAAATAGCATAAAAAAAGGTGCATGTACCTAAGACACAGCGCACCACAATTCATGGTAATGCCGCTAGGTAAGTAACAAGTAACAGGTAAGCACGGTGTATTGGGGGCGTCATTAATAATGAATGGCACTGCAGCACACCAACAACAACATGCATTTATGTGTGCTGCAGTAACATGCGCAATGTCACATTTATCTCCCTGCAGCGCACAGATGGGAACAAAGATTTATTTCTTTTTTATTATTATTTTTGACTTTTTATGTCTGGCCTCCATCTCCTCCTATCTGCAACCGCAATTTTCCCAAAAAAATTTCAGCGCGTTGGTAGAGTGTTTGGGTTTCACTTGAAGAAAATGTGGCAACCCTACCCTCCACATCATTGGATTCAGGTGTTTCAATCACCTCCATGGCCACAGGTGTATAAAATCAAGCACCTAGGCATGCAAACGCTTCCACAAACATTTGTGAAAGAATGGGTCGCTCTCAGGAGCTCAAGCGCCTAGGGAGGGGGGAGGGGCTTGCTGAACTGCGATCCGGACACTGAGGTGATTCCCAGAACATCTTCCTTATATAGGGGAACTGTAGAACCTTCTAGAAGTCCTCGCAGAGATGTTTTCCCGCCGAAAAATCTTCCAGTAATTTTTCTTAAAGGGCCAGAATCTGAAATTAAATAAACATAGAAAAACCCAAAAAACAATGACAGTCCCCGCATTCCCATGAAAATGGGCCTCTAATGGATGGCGTTATTACATGGGACTGCAGGTGGCATGTGCTAACTTACAATAATAATAATTTAAATAAATAAAAACATACGCTATTTTATTGTTGGCAAATATTGGCCGCGGCATTTTATTGGTATAAAAAAAAATATTCTAATCTTTATTAACCATAACTTGAAATCAACCAACCATTAAATCGTTATAACCAACCAATTGCCCGGTTATTAAAACTCAAGCAATACATCACTTAAGGGTATAGTCCCCCCCAGCCTGGCTTGCACTACCGCAAGCCCAGGCACCACCACCAGCCGCGGCCATTTCAATACAATTCTGTAAATTTAAATTGAAAATATCCAAAGCCACATCCGAGAGATATACCCCGTCCTGGCGATAAAATCCTTCCAAACCACCCTCTAAATCTCTATGCCTAAAAGAAAACCCTCCCAAAAGCGGCATACATTTTTCCATCGCTTTGTTTATACGCTTACGAATTTTCTCAAAAGGGCGGCCAGCCACAGAAGATAACCATACCAGACGAGGTATTATCTCCGAGAAAATAAATAAAGTATAGGGCAATGCCTTGTTTAAACTAGACAACTCCTCTTTCATTTTATATAATAAATCTAATGTTTTGACTCTACCTATATCGTTACCTCCTAAATGAATAATAATTATATCCGGTGTAGGCCAACAATTCAATAAACTTGGCAAAACGTGCATTAATTTATTCCAATGCAAACCTCCAATCCACTTCCAAAACACACAAAAACTGTAATTGTAATGATGAGGCAATAAGAGCGCAAATCCGGAATTATAAATGGTTTGATTTTGGACCTAGCAATTTTTATATGAACAGCCGATTCAACTAATAAAACATCGTTAAACAAAAGACCCGACCCACTCTTTTTATTATGGGATACTAGCTCTGAAATGCGAAGAGCTGCAAAAAATGCTAATAGAAATGCCGTATTGAACAATAAAGACTCATAAGCTGAATGGCAGATTCCAGAGGTCGCTCTGCAAATGTGCCTAAGGAGCTCCCCTGATATAGGACGCCTAGAGTCAAGATAGAAATTGCCCTTTTTGTAACCTCTTAAAACTCTTTGTACCGAAAAATAACTGCAACATGGGGGTAAGTTAAATAGCCTAAAGAAAAAAGAAATGCCAGATATTGTTTTTGCCAAGTGGCTATAGGAAGGTCTGCGTTTAATTATAGAGCAAAGAAAAGCCAGAATAGATTCCTCGCATGGGGAGAGAAACGACAAACCCATGTCCACGTTAAAAAACGACCACTTTTGCCACGCAGAAGAGTATTCCGCCCAAGTTTTTGGTGCCACCGAATTGCGGATGGTTCCTGAAATAAGGCTCACATCAAATTCCATAGATGCTCTGGGCATGGGAAACCCTCCCGATCGGCGTCCGGTAGAAGTTCCCGGAACCGCTGCATCTGAAATCAGGACAAAGAGTCTGCCAAAACATTCAATTTTCCAGGGATGAATTTAGCTTTTATCCAGATATTTAATTTAAGACATAAGAAAACTAGATACCTCAACAATTTTATCACCAAAGGGGACTTGGAAGATAGACAAAAATAACCCCCTTATTATCTGAGTAAAGTAGAATACGCCTAGTGGAAAAATGAACACCCCATATTTCCAACACCACTACCACTAGAAAGAGCTCCAGAAAAACAATATTTTTCGTAGCCTTCTGGTTCACCCAAGAAGGAGGCCACCTATCACAATACCAATGGTTGTTCCAAATAGCTCCAAAACCCGTGGAACCAGCGACATCGGTAAAAAAATTGAATTCTTCTGCTGGGATGAAATCCCTCTGCCAAAATGACTTACCGTTGAACGCGTCTAGAAAATTGTACCAAACCAACAGGTCTTCCTTCAAATCCATGTTCAATCTAACATGGGAGAATGGGGACTTAAGCCCTGAAATTTGTATACAATCTTCTAGAAAAAATGCGACCGACTGGCATAATGCGAGAAGCGAAGTCCAGTAAACCCAACAAAGATTGCATATATCTCAACAAAACCTTACGCCTACGCAAAAGTTTTGTAATGAAAGATTGCGTCCTATTAATCTTTTCCATAGGTAAACTAAATTCTGATGAAACTGTATCAATTTGAATACCTAATAACTGTAATGATACAGTAGGCAGGACGGATTTTTCCTCCGCTAATGGAACCCCGAAATAGCTACAAATAGAACTAAAAAGTATGAACAAATTCATGCAAATAGGAGAATTGGGAGGGCCCATAAATAAAAAATCATCTAAATAATGGACAATGCCATCATAATCCGCCTTCACCAACACCACCCATTCTAAAAAGGAAGAAAATGTCTCAAAATAAAAACAAGATAAAGAACATCCCATTGGCAAACACTTATCGAAAAAATAAAAACCATCAAAATAAAAACCCAAAGAATTAAAAACATCTGGGGCTATAGGCAGGAGCCTAAATGCTGACTGAATATCGGCTTTCGCAAGTAAACCATTACGACCACATTTTTTAACTTTGGCAATCGCCTCATCAAAAGTAGTATAAGAAACAGAACATAAAGTTCTATCTATATCTGCATTGAGAGAATCATCTTTAGGATAGGAAAGGTGATGAATTAGACGAAAAGAATTGGGGTCTTTTTTTGGAACTAAACCCAATGGGGAAATGCGGAAATTCTAAAATGGAGGATCAATAAAAGGACCCGCAAACCTGCCCGCTGAAATTTCTTTGAAAATTTTTTTCTCTTACAATAGGATAAAATTCCTGTATTGAACTCAGATTTCTTACTACTTTACAACCAGAACCTTTAAATTCAGGGAGGTAAAACCCAAATTCCCAACGAGTAACTGCGCCTTCCCCTGTTCTGGGTACTGCACCAGCCACGGCAGCATTCTTTCCAGCCTCACAGGTGTGCACTCTTTTATGAAAAATATCTTTTGCTACTGCGGAAGGAACATTACTCCTTTTAAAACACTTACTCCAAGGATGTGGTCCATTACAAAAGGAACATTCATGTTTATACTTACATTCCGCTGCCCATTTACAGTGACCTTCGTTGTAAGCAAAACAAAAACCTTTGCGAATCGGGGATGTAGAAAAATTACCAGGTTGTTTAACCCCTTCATGACTGAGCTTGTTTTTAGTTTCTGTTCGTAAATGACTGACACACTTTTGACATTTTTACTGTGTGATTCTTCCACATCAGTAATATACTTTCTTACAAAGTGCACCCACACATATTATATATTGTTTTTTAGAGGACAGATAGGGCTACATATTTATATCACATATGTGTGTCTAAGGCCTCACTTAGGACAAATAAAATATAAAAAAAATTTAAAAAATACACTTTTTTTCCCAGTTTTGATTTGTATTATTTTTTTTACAAAACCAGCACAGCTAAAAAAAATGCAATAAATACATTCATTTATTTGTCCCTTATTTTAATTAATTTTTTTTTTTACACATTTTTTTTTTTTTACACTTTTCACAATTTTTTTCCCCCCACTTTTTTTAAACTTAAAATTTTTATTTTATTTATTTAATTATATCAAGCAGATATTGTGAATTAATCTCACTGTTACTGCTTGATAAATTAATACATTTTTGGTTATTAACGTACAGTGTACGTCTCCCGCCACGAAGGGGTTAAGAGGTATTTGTCTCTGTGTTGAAATAAGATTTAGCCATAGCCCAACGTCCTTCATCCCCCATCTAAGTGAGTGGAAAACTGAAACTTTTTGTCTGAAAGACTCATATTGAAACCAGCCTAAACCTCCAAAGTTTGTATAAGCTTCCAGAATGATTTCAATATGCTGGAATAGCCCTGTACACATATCCGGATGTTTTTCTCCCAGAATGCTGGCGTAGATACAAAAAGCTTGAAGACAATTATTAAAATTACGGGCTACTGGTCTGCGATGATCGTCCTCAGAGCCATCATCCGATTTTTAAAAAATACATTCTTTAGCGGATGGCAATAACAACAGTAAGTCTATACTCCTTTCAAATTTTTTTCTTTCAATGTGCTAGTTAAGTGCACCCCTAATGGCAAAACTTCACAAGGCAACGGTTCCTTTAAGCAAGATTCTGGTTTTCTCCTAGACCTCAAAATTTCCGAATTATTAACTACCTCAGTAGCTAAAATAGGAGAAGTAACTGTAGCACTACCCCTAATCGCAAGCGGTTGAGCCCAGACAGATGCAATAGAAGATGAAGCATTAGACATCCTATCAGCAATTTTCGAGCAATCTGATGGACGTGTCTGGGTTTGGCAGTTGCCAGGAGAACGGTACTTGCCTGACTGCATTATCTAAACCCTTTCTCAGAAGAGTTGAAGCTGTTATAGCTGCAAAGGGTGGGCCAACTCAATACTGAACCCTATGGACTAAGACTGGGATGCAATTAAAGTTCGTGTGCGTGTAAAGGCAGGCGTCCCAATACTTATAGTGGCAATAAAGTGTATGTACTACATAGCCTGTCTGGTGTAGTGTCCACGACTCCTACACCAACATATACATACGCAGGCTGTGTGCACTGTTATTATACAGATGTATACATACACAGGCTGTGTGGTGTAGTGTGTACTGTTCTTATTATACAGATGTATATATACATTTTCATGAGCAGCTCTGTAACCTGTTGCATTGCAGTTAGATGCATTGTTACCACGATTTTTACGCTTATTTGTAGCTTAAAATTGGCACAGGTGCGATCCTATGGGTTTGTTTGCATTTTGATGCGTTTCCATGCATTCCAGACTAGAGAAAATGAAACAAGCAGTATTTTTTTTTGGTCTGGACCGGAACAGACTGCGCTGGTGTGAACAGAGCCCAGAAATACTATAGGGATACATTAAGATGCTTTTTTGGTCCGGGAACAAACTGTTCTGGTCTGAACAAGACCTAAAATAAACTTTATTGCCGATTTCGACCTTTTTCTTGTCGGAAGAAATAGCCGTTTCACCATATCTTGAATGAACAGATTCCTGAATGGGAGGGTCTGGATCATTACAATCAGCTGGTGCGCTTACTATGTTCTAATAAGAATAGTTGCAGCGTGAGCATCACTTTCATAGTACGTAACTCACAGGGAGAAGCTCACCATTGTCACCAAAAAAGGCCTTTTTTAATCACATTGAATAACAAAATGGCTTGTGTAGTAATTATATATGCTACATTTTTTTAAAAGAGTTTCACTTTTAAGCCAAAACAATGATCCAAGCCATTTGCAGAAAGAAAGAGGAGTGGCAGCCTACTTATTTCTCTCATGACAGGTTACTTTTAAGGGGCAACAAAGAATTGTGGCGATTTCACTCATGCACATAATCATTGCTTTGAGTTCAAGCAAAATTTTGCTCTTGGCCAACTCCAACTGTTGTGGAACTACAAGGCCCATGAGGCATTGTAAAACAGAAAGGTACAGGCATGACTCCCAGAGGCTGAGGCAGGTTGGGATTTGTAGTTAAAGCACATCTGGAGGGCTGTAGTTGCCCCACCTGTTCTTGACAGAACCATCTGAAGCTTCCTAGACTATACATCATACAAACTGAGGATGGATCAAGAGTTTTGTAATTGCGCTGTCGATCACTCCAAAAACCCCAGAGGTCTGATATGGCCTCTGCACCATCACAACTTCCATGCTCCAGTGACACTCATGCCTCCTGCTCAACATTGCTGAATGGAAGGCAAAGCAAGTTTTAAAATTGCTATCAGGTAGGCTTGTATCACCCTGTATGTCTCTTCTGCCATAAAATCTTCCTTTTAACTTACAACCCATTTGTTTTTTTGCATGTACAATGAGCCGTACATGCCCAGCTTGGTGTACATTCTTGTGCACATTGGCAGGATCTATGTCTTCGTGGGTTGGCCAATCCGGTTGAGTGAAGATGCTGAACGCAGGAGATAACCGGGCAAATACATCAGCAGCAGAGCGACAAGAGAGATCATGTACGTCGTACTGGTGGTGGAATCACAGGCAGGCAAGTGTGTCATGATGTGAAAGTATGGTATGTACATTATGGCAAGTGCCACTCACCGTGGTGCAGACCTTATTTGTGCTTTATTGTTTAGGATGCTGCTAGGGAAGGGAATATCGGAGTGGACTGGAGGACAATAACATTAGGAAAATATATAACACAAGAGAAGTACGGAAGCTGCTATTCCTGACCTTATGAAGATCAAAGTTTCCGGGCTCTTCCGGTTTCCTACTTTCTGAGTCGCTTACCCAGAACAAACAAGCAGCCATTGAAGTCAGAACCTGATTTCCATACCTGTGGCTCCAAAAGGACTGAAGCCAGAGACATCTAGGCAACCAGCATATTCAACAGGAGGTTGGCAATTGCAGCCTAGCCTTTCGTGCCATAACAGCTTCCCTTTAATGACACATATAGGTGTGTTACCTAAGCAGCATGTACCAGCAAGACTTCCATGTGTGTAGAATGACAAAGGAACACAAAGGGCGCAACAGTTCCTTTGTCAATCTGCATCCAGGTTCTCCTCCTGTTTCCAGGGCTGCACACATGTTTGTCAGTTAGCCTCCCCCATCCGAGAGCGCTGTTTATGTTCTTTTTGCATGTGTGTAGAATGCCTTTTGTATCAACCTGCTGTGCTCATTAGTGCAGCACTGAAGAGGAATTCAAGAACAAATAAATACATACAACATAGCTGAAGACAGTATACAGAAGGACGGCACTAACGAAGCTTGGGAATATCTTCACATATACATACAAAATGCCAAGAACAGTATGGCCACCATTTTTTTTCTTTTAGAATTGGATCTGGCCTTACTTTGTATGATCAAACATCCTGATAAATAGCAATCTGCTAGCTGAGAAATAGTAGAGACAGGACACAGATGTCCAAAGAGAGGTCTTACCTGTCCTCATCAGCACAATTTCACAACTGATGAATTTGATGAAGTAGAGCCTCCATGGCCATTCCAATAGACTTGCTGCTTGCTTTAATGTTACTGTGGTATCATAGAAGGAAAATCAATTTTCCTGTCTCCATTATTCTTTTACACAGCAGGAAAGGCCATTTTATTTTAATGAAAGCCGTTATTGCACCGAGAGGAAAGATCTAACACAGGGATGTCCAAACTGCGGCCCTCCAGTTGTAGTGGAACTACGAATCCCATGAGGCTTTGCAAGATTCTCACAGCCACGACTCCCAGAGAGCGATGCTTCATGGGATTCGTAGTTCCACCACAGCTGGAGGGCCGCAGTTTGGACATCCCTGATCTAACATATTGAGTTGTCACTAGATCAGGAATAGAAAGGAGGGGTGTCTTCCAGTGAGAATACTTTAAATCCGACAATACAGCACAGGAATGAGTTCTCGGAGGATTTGGAGTACTCTGCTTTACCAGGACGCGGCCCTCGGACCAAGAGGGATAACCAGTGACAACAGAAGTGGCCAAAAGCCACAGTGCCAGGTTAGTATATTTTTACTTTTGCTTGTTTTTAGAACTCAGTTAGTGGTCTTTATTATGAGGGTGGGGGCACAGTAATAAGCCGACCTTGCATTTTAATACAAGGTCCACTTAAAACACAATTTGGAACAATGCATACTCCTCAGATTACTTAATAGCTGTTCAGCAAGTATTCTAGCTGCTCTGCCTGCAGTCTAATGTGCAAATGGATGATAAAGAAAGCATTTAGAAAGCTGTATGAGATATGATCAAGACAAAATGAAGCAGCAAGCATATAAAATGTGAGAAAGTGTGTATAAAGAAATGGCTTAAAGGTGAATTTTACTATAATGAGTCAAAACAAAATACTGAAAATACACAATTATTCTTTCTTTAAAGACCAAGCATATAACAGCAGTCAGGATTAAATTACTTGTAAAATATATACTTTTCTTTAATAATGGAAAAAAGCAACACTTAAATAAAAATCTTAGGAGAAAGTACTAAACATTATAATTCCCGGGAACACCTATGCATAGCATAAGATGCTCCTTACTAAATGTTTGAATAAAAGCAAATCTTTACATGGAATAGCCCCTAAAAGTAGCTACACACATTAGCTTTCTAATTAAAAACAGCATTTTATTCTAAGGGGAAAGAAAGACTCCAACAACAGCATCTGGAAAACAATCTATATTTACATGCACTCCCAAAATACTGACTATAGAGAGGAGAAAGACTTGTAGAAAGAGAACAGTAAATCAGAAACTGTGTGGGTCAGGTGACCTGACCAGCCCAATGCCATGATCATGTTCAGAGATGACAGACTCCATTCATGCTTCAGATGAACCAGAAAACACAGCAAGCGCAGGATGGACATGATTCAAACGAAGTGTCAGTTAACACATTTGGTCCGTTTGCTTCTGTTGGGACAGATGGAAGATGAAACTGCGTAAGTACAAATTGTTGCAATAGAAAAAAGAATGATTTTTATGCATTGAATCAAATCAGTATCAAAGTTTTAAAATGTAAGTGTGAGCAAAAGTCAGATTTTAGAACAGCTGCATTTGATCCATTATCTTCGTGATAATGAGTGATTGCATTTCTAAGACTCACAAAACATCTGGTCAGTAATATTGTATTAGCTCAACTTGCTGTAGTTGGGTAACAAAGCGGAAAAACTGTTCCAAATTTCTGCCTGTGTTGGTCACCAATCCTTAAAGCTCATCTGTGCTGGACTACAAAATGTCACTATCACCACAGCTTGGAGCAGCCTGTGCTATCCACTAACGCACCAGTGCTTTACCAAGTGGTACATGGAACTTCATGGTCTATAAAGCTCCCATACTCCACCTTTTGAAACAGCAGCACTAGCAAAAAGCGATGGTAGATGCAGTCTCCAAGTCAATCTACATGTGTCATAACAGTGGCGTACAGTTACTGCTAGTGACTGCTCACTGCTATGTGCTTTCTTCCATCCTGGGACAAAAAAACAACTTTACATTCTCTAGATGAAAATCTAGAACTAATTTGTTAAAGGGGGTAAGGCCCTTCCGGATAGTTGTTGAAAACACTGGTTTCAGATCCACTTTTGCAGAGACCTAGGAATTGAATGTACACATCTCGGGATGAAACGTGACATGGAATTTTCCTCAATTCTCTGGTCTGGAGCTTCAAAGTCCTGGCACTTGTATTCTAATCTGGTAGCAGGTACACTAAGCCAAAGGCAGATTGTACAGCCAGATTGGAAAGTGTGTGGGGAGCTTTATATAAGCAGATGTACCACCATGCTGCTCTCAGTAAACATATTTGTTGGTCACATGTGACAAACTTTTGGTAACACACAAAAGGAACTTTTCAGAATTTATAAAGAAGTTTTAAAGTGAACTCTCCTACGAAAAAAAAAAATATACATAAAAAAACAACAAAAAAAACAACAAAAAACACTAAAAAGGTAACAGTGGGGTATGGAGATGAGCTCTGCCTTGTAATTCAAATGTCAAATAAGAGATCCTGTACTACCCACAGAGGCTCCACGCATTTGACAGTGTATTGAGTTAGCAGGTCTTGTTGACAGGAGGGGACAGGGCCTAATGTCGAGCCTCTACAATATGCAGAGCCTGGGCCTAAGATCCAAGGTACTGATCTAAAAGACTAACATGGGAACTGTATGCATTCTGTAGACCAGGTCCGGTTCACTATGATTTGTTTTTTAGTGTATCATACTTTAAATTGAGAAAAAAATCACAACATCTGCAGAATATGCTCTGTGGGTGGAATTAGAGGATAGGTATTGAAAGTAATGGTTTAATGGATCAGAGGACAACAGGCACAGAGACTAAAGACATCTGTCCCCAGGCCCACCATACATCTCCTCCACATACCATTCCCAAGAATTATTTTAGTGAAAGGAAATGGTAAAACAAATTATTGGAAAACTCGACATTGTTTTACCCAATATTGGATACAAGGTATGTAGCTCACACCTATAAAGATTAGTTTCCAAGGACAATTGTTACATCATGTGCCAAGCCTAGTGTTAGGGCTTTAGTTTAACTCTTAGGTTTATGGTGATTGTTCAGGGCTATATAAACAAGTCGCAGAGCCATTCGTCCTGTGAAACTCTGAAATTGAATGTAATATTAGAAAAATACTGCATTACAGCCATTAGATAAAGCTGAGGTGCATAGAAAATAAGAACATTCATTTTTGTTTGCACAGTACACAACGTACATGGCAAATGGCTTTAAAAGTATAGGTTGGGAGAGATAAACTGTATAAGTTTAAATGCACTTTATTAGGCATTACTTAGGCACAGCGTTTTTATTGTTTTACTTATTTTTGCCCCAAAATTCTCTTACCCATCTTGGTTCCAAAATGTAACCACAAGCATGACAAAATTTGTATTCTCACCACAGCTGGAGGGCAGTGGTTGCCCACCTGATATAAACAATCTCTTACACAGAAATAGAGATGCCAATACATGACATTGGTTGTTCAACTACATTTTAACAAATCTGATACGTTACATACTGTACATATAGGATTTCACTCGCTATGTGATGGGATGCTTGATATTTGTGGAATGAATTCCCTGCTCTGGCATTGGAAACCAACTGAAATAAATGTGTTTGTGAGGCCAGGCTTTGTTGCGTCACAGAAAGTAAAGCAGCTCCAGTGGTAGCCTTGAAGAATTTTGTTGGTCAGGGAGACCCCGAAAATCAATCCTGGTGTTATGCTAACCTTACTAGCACAGCACAAAATACAAAAGCACATTTTTAGTTTGAGTTGTAATATTTTATTGATTACTAAATAGCATACCATACCTCATCTGTAGAATTTTCTGAGGAAGCAGTTGTGTGGAGAGTTCCTTCATTAATTGATGTCAATACAGGCGTGTCTTGTCCCTTAACAAAATTTTTTTTTAAAAACAAAAGTAGTCAGAGATCAGTCAATAAAGCTCACTAAATACCTTACAATTCAGGGGTGGGCAACTCGAGCCCTTCAGCTGTTGTGGAACTACAAGTCTCCTGAGGCGTTGCAAGACCGACAGCCACAGGTAAGACTCTCAAAGACAGAGGGATTATGGGATTTGTAGTTAAAGCACAGCTGGAGGGCTGGAGTTGTCCACCCGTTACAATCTTTCTACTCAATCCCGTTTAGCTCTACCAATAACTATGTATTGCAAGAGCCTGCCTGATTGGATACAAACAGTTTGGGATTATCTGGATAGGTCCTTCAATAGTTTTGGTAAATCTATAAAAGAGATTGTACAGAACACATGTATGGTGAACTTTAGAAGTATGTACCCATACACATTGCATTGCTAGAAGTAGAGCCCTAGCCACATTCATTTGTAGTTTATGGTAGAGCAAAGACATATACTCTAGAGGTTGAGTGATGTCCATCTTTATACACACTTGGCTTGTATGGTGCATCAAAGCGTAACCTGAATAACTTCACATGTTAAACACGTCTGCGGCCCTATCTGGATCTTTCGCAGTGCTGAGAGTTGAGACGGTCATTGTAGGTCACATGTCTGTCAGAACATCCACTCAGCCATGATCACTGGACATAGTATAGATAACAAATCACAGATATATGCTTCTAATACCACTACAGGAGGAGTCAACTATTGTGCCAGGAAATCTATTAAGTTTGCAGTCTTTATATTATAACACACAGCACTAAAAGCGGGCATTGGGTTAGGTCACAAGCACAAGAGGCGACCATATAAAAACTACGGGTCTAAGGACTTGTTCACACCATCTCCAGACTAGATCTGGATGCGTTTCTGCAAACATAGTGATGTGTGTTGATGCATTCCAGTGCTTTTTTTTTTTAGGCTCGATTGACTTTCTAATGTGCGTTCCAATGCATTTGCATGTGTTTACATCCGTTTTGGTGCATTCCAGACTAGGGCTGCATCTAACGATTATTTTCATAAATCGATTAGTTGGCCCATTATTTTTTTCTATTAATTGGATAAAATAAAACAAAATGAATAAAATTACACAAATGCAGCATTCCAAAGTTTTTGTTTTACTTTTTTTACATTTTATTTTTAATTTTAGTTTATTTAACTTTATTTTTTTTACTTCATTGCTGGGAGCAATAGCCAGTCTGCTATTGGATATTTCAAATTGCAATAGCCAATAACAGGCTGGCTATTGCAACCGCCCACTGCCAGTCAGCAGAGGAGGGACCCGAGGAGAAAGTTCTCCATCAGGTCCTCCCTGCTGATTGAGAGCAAGCAGTAGGCGGGTGCAATAGCCAGCCTGTTATTGCATTTTAAAATATCCAATAGCAGGCTGGTTATGGCTCCCAGCCTCTAGATGGAGTGGAGGCACGGGTGGGCAGCAGAGGAACGGGTGGGCAGCGGAGGAATGCAGTCACAGCGGTGCTGGTACCGGCTGCAGTGGCCTGCGTCCTCCCCACCTGTATCAGCAGAGGCAGTGGGAGCAGCAGGGATTGAAAGGGGCAACTAATCGTAAACCAACTAATCGGTGATGAGAATCATTGCCGATTATCATTATCGATTATAATCAATTAGTTGTTGCAGTCCTATTTCAGACCAGGCAGCATGCATGCAGCCTATTTTTTTTTTTTTTTTAACGTTCTGGAACTGAACGGAATAGTGTGAACTAGCCTTACTCATTACCATAGGAATGCGTTTTTGGACCAGACAAAAAAAAACAGTTTGGCCTGGATCTGGTCCGGACACGGTGTGAATGGGCCCTAAGGCAGTAGACACAGGTCATTTGTGGACCTGCACAGACATTAAATACGACAAACAATATTTGATAAATATTTGTATTTCAGATCAAAAAAAAAGCGGGGCATTCTTCCTACGGACCGACATTGCAAGGGGATGATTTTTTACCACCGACTAGCAGTGCAAGGGGACATACTTTCCGCTGACCACCAAAGGGTGGAGGGGACATTACATTGTTTCCAGTGACACCCAATGTATTCATTTTAGCTGGGCACCTTGAGACCTAAAAATTATTTTGGCAGCATACAAGGAAGCCGGCTTAATGATTGTTTTTAAAAAACTCCAAAGAAATAATATTCTCAGCAGAAGTGATCCCAGGAACACAGTGCTGCAAGCTGCTGGTCACTCCACTATCTTGCTGCTCATATACCCAGACTCCTAATAAATTAAATTCAGCCATGCCAAACCGGTTGTATTTATTTACAGATGTGTGCAGGCCTACAGTATTCACCTGTCATTAGAGCCACAGCTCTGTATTTGAATCACAAGGGTGTTTCAGGCACAGCATCTTGCAAACGCAAATCAACCCTGCTTTTTCCTCCCTCTTCACTGCCCCCATGAACTTCGCCTTACAGTGAATCTTATTTGAAGATGTTAAACTGTCTGAAAGGTTGAAAAGCTGGTACCTTCTAGTGTCTGAATACAAAGCTTCTTTCCAGAGCACCCAAGGAGGCCATACATATGCTTTTTACAACTCAAGAACTCAAACAAGTCAGCAATGATTGCTTCCATATTCCTAACCTTAGTTGTTCCTTTTAAAGTTCCCTTTGTTTGGGTTTCCTCTAGGTCAGTGGTTCTCAACCTGTGTAACCGCAAGACCCATATTTGTCCTTCGTCATTAAGTCGGGACCCAGGTTGCACTGCAATGAAACACACGGCATTGCGGTACTGCGAGTTCCAATGCCAGCAATAGAACTGTGAGTGGGAAGGGGGTGCCATTCAAATGAATGGCAATGCACTTCTCACACCAGAACGTGTGGTAGGTGAGATTGTGTAGATGAGCCCTCATTGTGTAAATGTCTCCCTATCTTAAGAGAACTGGAGTGGATCCTCAGCCTGAGGTCTGCTGTCTGGTGTGCTGGAGTTCCATCCATATATGCACTGCTTGTACAGCTCCCTTGCACACCCCGTAGAGGTGCCGAGAGCCAGAATGTTACATCACTCTGGTCCAGGCACCTCTACAGGACATGTGAGGGAGCTGTAAGCAATGCACATATGGATGGAGCTCACCCCACCTCAAGCTGACACTCGGCACCGGGCAGCATATTTTGAATGGCTGCTTGGCGTGAGAGCTGACATTGCTGCGCTAGGGGGAAGCTAAGGAGCCTCTCACCTAGAAAAGGGGAAGGCACACTGGGACCCACTGAACACGGGGTCACGACCCACTTTTGGGTCACGACCCACCAGTTGAGAACCAAGGCTCTAGGTGCTTCAGTAACATCCCATACTCCAAAAGCCGTAGTGGTCAACTCCTTTGTAAATAGGCCCTAGAATCTGTACAAGTGTTGGGAAGAGTTTGTTAGAATGTCTGGGGCAGGACTCATTGGCTGGAATTGTCTATATCAACTTTTTGTGCCCATTTCCGAGTCTCTACTCTTATAGGATCACTAAAGGCACAGACACTACATACTGGGATGGGCAGAGTTGGGGTAATCAGCATTTTCAGACAGCTTACACCCAGGTTTAGGAGAGTACTAAAATGGTACCTTGCAGCACCTGCCATAAGATGAGTTGTGTTGACTTGGCCTACCTTGCAGAGTCTGAATGTTGGCAATGAATGTTGCTATTCAAAAACCATACAACTGATTCCATGTTTAGAGGTCATTTAATGTATTTAGGTCTTGCCATGTCAAGCCATTCACAGAAAAGGATACCAAGGCAAGAACCAAGACATAAACTAGAGGTTCTAGCTCTTCTACCTTCTAAAAAGACAAACAAAACTAAAAACAGTTTTGCTTCCTGTCCATGATTTCCCTTTACTTCCTATTTAGTCTGATATCTATCACACAAACATGGACAGCAAAAACATTGGAGAGAAGGTCTAAACCTTCACCGTCATCCAAAAGGTAAAAGCTGAACTTCAGGCAAAGAGCTAAATACACAGATGAAATGCATACAACTGAGCTGTTTTACCTGCCAAATGATTTGTATTTATGTCCATTCGATTCTGAGATTTACACAGTCCTGCCACAAAGCACAGTCCTACCTGGCAATGCCAGAGACCTATTTTGTTTCTTTGCTGCAGTTACTGTTACAAGGTCTTGGCCCTCCCCAGCTGTGACTGGAAATATAAAGGATAAGCAGCAGTACTGATGAGCAAATCTCTCTGCTCTCACCTCCTATTAGCATGCTCCTTGTTGACACATGAGCACAGCTTACCAGCTACTAGTGCTGATTCTCCCTCTGAGTTCTACTTTTCAGGGAACTGGAAGAAGCAGATATCAGGTCACATTCAGGCACTTACACTGCTGGCATTATAAAAATATATTTAAAATGATGTATTAATGATTACAGAGGTGGTTCAAATGGGTTCTTTTATATCCATCTGGGTTAAAAAAACAAAAACAACAAAAACTGGAAAGCTTGATTAAAAACTGGTGGTAGTTTATAGTGTGTCAGGATAAGCGGGCTTCTAGTAAAGCTGGCCATAAACCTATAGATTATCTGCAGATTTTTTATGGTCTGATGGAAAAAGTGCAATACATTCCTCCATCTACGCTAAATTGTGTGGATGGAGGAATCTCCCACTGGGCCAAGCTTCAGTATCTTGCTAGTTGGCCCCACTGGCTCTCAAAATATCTGAACAAAATTGGACGCAGGCATTGTTCAGGTATTTTGACAGCCAGTGGGGCCGACTAGCAAGATACTGAAGCTTGGCCCAGTGGGAGATTCCTCCATCCACACAATTTAGCGTAGATGGAGGTGCAGAAATTCTATAGGTGTATGGCCAGCTTGAGATGGCAATAATTAGCACTCTTAGTATGAATTTACCTGCTGATTTGACGAGGGTGAGAGAGCAGACTTCTCATAATCACAGAACGATGCAATGTCAGCATTCTGAAGGTGGAGACCGTCCGCTGAGCTTTTCACTTTGCTGCCAAGTACAGAACAGAGGCATTGATACAAGGAGGGCATAAAGCCCACATCTGCCTTGAGCTTTGCATGATTCGCAGAAACTAAATCATATAAATTCCTCTCGGACTCTTCAGTCCTGTTATCCTTCTTTACCCACATTTTCCTGCGAGGGTGCCAGGTGTCATGGTAATATTGAAACACCTCTGCTGGACAAATGGCCTTCAGGTCATTGAGATATCGGTCATAGACCTTAACTGAACATGTCTGGGAAATGATATGGAGGAAGTTCTTGATCTGGGCCTCAGACATCATATCCAGGTGGGATATGCGACTGTACAATAGATTTAATACCGCATGCATACAGTACCTCACGTGGGCATGCGGTAAACGGCTCTCCAGGTTAATTGGCTCTAGGATATCAGGGTTGATGGTTAAATGTTTTACCTTTTTACTGATTGTGGGGATGATCTCACAAAGCAAACCTGTAAGGAAGGGAATGATGCCGTCGAGCTGTTTTTTTGCAATGCAGTAAGCACACGGAGTCCATCCTTCTCCCTTTATGTCACAAAAAATGGTATACAAGTCAAAACTTGTGCTGAATTCTTTAAACAAATCAATGAACAAATTCTCTGGGTGATTCTGAGCCCGGTCTCTCATAGCAGAGGTCATCAGAAAGATTTTCTTCACATGTAATTTATCCTCCACGAACACCAGCTTGACTTTTGCATCTGGGTCAGAAAAGAAAAGCGACTGCAGCTCTGCCAGAACTTGTGTCCGGTCTTCGAATGCACCGGAGCGGAAGCGCAGAAGCCTTTTTAAATCGCTCGGTTCCAGAAACTTCTTAGAGATGTTGTTTGCCACCTGGGCCGGTAATCCTACAGCAGACGAGGGCTTAAACTTCTTCTCTGGAGGAGCATCGGTGGGATCTTCCATGACATGGATATGGTTCTGGCTGCATTGTGTGACCAGAAGTTTATCTTTCTGGGGATTTAGTGACAGCTCAATTAATGCCGGGCAGTTCTTCCTAATAAAAGGAGAGTAAAGAAGAAGAAGAAGATTTAACTCTCCAATAAATACATTCAAAATATAACCGGGTTAAAACATGACTGAAAGATAAAACTCCAAACAAAAGCAAACCTGTTACCTACACACCATAAAAAACAAAATTAAGTGATGTTACTTCTCTTCCCATAGAGGAAGCATGACATCATGTCACTTCCTGTTCACAGGATAATCACCTATTCTGCTACAAATCAGTTGGCGCCGAGACTGCCCATGCGGTTAATAGCAGCATCCAGACTGTGTTGAGAGCTGCCTCTAAAAGGTGTAACTACTACCCCCTCTCTCCCCACCTTTTACCCGATTGTACACTATTCTTCAACACTGCCTTTATGCTCCCACTCTTCACTTCTGTGTGAATGTTAGAGGGTGCTGCCTCTTCTCAGGAATGGTGCATCTAAACCCAAAAATGTCATATACTGCAGCTTACCCCATTCCTTATTTGTGGTGGCTGGATTTCTTTTCCAGGCTTTTTCTTCTTTATTTTCACCTGGTGATCCTGCCAGTTACAGAATTCCTGTGCTATGGTGACAGCGTTTACTCACGGTACAATTTTATACAAAGGAGCAGCATTGTCACCCTAGGCTGTTCTCCTGATTTGGACTACAAACACCTCCCCTGCGCCTCCTTATCATCAAGAGAGGGTTTGCCAAAACCATGCAACATAAGGACCTACGTAAACCAATACATTTGCATCCAATCAGGCAGGCCCTTACACTACATAGTTTAGTAAAGCGAAGGCAGATTGTACAATCACACTGAAACATGTGATAAGTCTACATTTGTCAACTGTCCTCACATTTCCACTCCCAGGTTTTGTAGATTTGTACCTAAAATGGTTCTAATACTGAAGTTTATTTATCCATCTATATGTAGGAAGGTGTGGAACTAGAATGGTGACTTGCACTTTCGCAGCTAGCCTCTGAACTGCAAAACCCCCTCCACCCAATGTAATGGAGATAAGGAGATGTTGTTTGCAGTCCAAACCAGGAGAACAGCCTAGGGTGACAACACTGCTTCTCTATAAATAGGGTGCAGCGAGTAAGCGTTGTCACCCTAAGATAGGAAGTGTGTTACTTGCTGGATCACCAGGTAAAATAAAACAACAAAAAGGAAATGGATGCAGCCTCCAAGTCTAAGGCCTGTGAAGCGTCAATCGTTTTCTTCCTGGGTTAGATACACTTCTATAGATGTGGCTATGTGCACTGACTGGTGGGGTCTTTCGGGCTGAAGGGCAGGGCTTTTTTTTTTACGACAATAGTGACAACTGTGTGGTGTACCCAACGCTCACTTCTTCAGATTTTATGAAAGAATATGCAGCTTGATTTCATCCAGAATGGATTTCACAACATCTGATGATATTGTTACACCCCAGCATACCTCCTGCCCCACAGGGGCACACTTTTGCTTTTTACATTAGGAGCATATAATATTAAAGTATATTCCAGTGTACGTTGTGTAAAATCTGTACTTTGACACTGCCGATATCTTCTACCTCTCAGTTTAGCTAGGAGGATATTATGTCACGTCATACCAGGATATTATATCATATCATACCAACTGTAGTTTTGTCATACCAACTGCAGGAAAGTTGTGCCCAGCTGTACTTCAAGATGTCTGCAGCCTTTCGAACGCCAAGTTCTTCATTACCACCCTCTTCCAGGAGTGAAGAAGATGAACGTAGAACGTACTTTTCTTTACTCCATTCTTGCAAGAAAACACAAAAGTCGTCCCAGCTCTGAAACTCCCTGCCATGTAATTGCGTGTTTGCAATGTCTTCACAGTCCTGGGAAGAGGAAAAAAAAAAAGAAGAAAGGCATTTAATGACTTCTAAGACCTGACGTAGGTTGTTGGCTTCTCAAGCATAATGATTTTTACACAGTGGAACCACAAACCACCGTCTACATTAAAATGTATGCATTTCAGTTTTACTACACTGCCTCCTGCCCAAAACCGGGCACTTATCTAAGATGACCTCTGCGGAGTTCAAGCCCAAGTCCAGGAACAGCAATATCCCAGTTTTTTAAATCTTTTATCTCCTGGAAAACTCTGTTTGCACCATAATAAATGTCTTACTGAAATAAGTGAGTACACGTCCCACTAAGTACAACGACAGCCACGCTTCCATTTCCCAGCCGCTTTGGAACAACGTCCTAGTGCACACGAGCCACAGTGCGTTCCGGCCAGAACGTACTGGATTGCATTGCGGCCGGCTCACTTTGTTGTGGGGCAGAAAGGGGTGTAGCGGTGTATTGGAATGGCACTGCAGCCACGCCCTCCGGCCGCAATGCGATCGGCCGCACAGGAACGCAAGCAACTTCAATGCCTGCGTTCCAGTACGGTCAGGAAAAATAGTGCACCGCCATTCCCCGCCCAAACAACAAAGTGAACTGGCCGCAATGCGATCCAGAGCGTTCCGGCCAGAATTCGACTGGAACGCACTGTGGCTGGTGTGAACTAGGCCTTGGGGACAATAGGTCCTGTATTGTGCCTCCAGGCCCTCTTTCAGCATAGCCATTTACAAAGCACAGCCGCAATGTCATCACAGGGCTGTGCTTTATGAATGGCTAGGCAGAGAGAGGAGGCACAATACATTGTCTGTAATAGACACGTTTCCATTGCGGCTGGGAGTTGGAAGCGTGTAGTATACAATCCTGCAGCTGCTCAGTGGGAAAATAGTCAAGGTTTAAAAATAGATAAAAATCACTGTGTCTGAAGTTGGGTTTTAAAGAGGGATTGAATGAAGAAAGCCGTGTCCAAAAAAAAAGGAAGGCAGAGGGCAAAGGACTAATTACCAGCAAGAAGGCCGAACAGCTCCATAGTGGTGTCACCAAATCTCACTCCAAATCTCCTGCATCTTGCAGTGCCTTAGATCTCACACAACAGATATACAGCTATGAGACTGTGTGCACATGAGAGCCCAGGCACATTCACATACTAAGAAGTGCCCTGCTATTCTTCAGGATAAGGTAGTGTGGACACAATTAATATTTCTCCAAGCTCACTGCCGTGATAGACTACAATCTCATGTTTAGTTTACTAATTTGTATTGAAGTCATAATCCATCACAGAAGTGAGCTTGGAGCGGTGACTACTTTACACCACACACAGGGACCATGAGGAACAAAAGTAGCCACCCTCCAGAAGGAAGGACAGTGTCAGCACCAATTCAGAGAGGATTTGAGGATCTCCAGCCGAGTGATACACAAATAAGATACATTTTTGTTAATAGTTCATCAACTTGAGTGCATGTTTAAGATTTTAAGTGGTATTTAAGGCATAGGGTTTTTTTTTTTGTTTTTTTACCTTACCGTATTTCCTGCATTAAGGTAAAAAAACACCCAGTACCTTTCTGCAACCCCCATTCCCCCCACACTTTCCCGTGGTTCCTCGTCTCTACCACCGGGTTGGGGAAGATGTCCTCTGTTCCCCGAACTTCCTGGTTGTGGGGGTGATCGCGATAGGCTCCTTCTGCCCTCAGTCAAACTGTGACTGTGGGAGTGGGGGGGGGCATGGCTTGCTGCATGTGTCTATGGACACACACAGCTAGGTGCGGGCACAGCCGTGAACGCGCCTGCATGGGTGTCTCCGCAGTGGACGACTAGCTGATGGAGACACCCGCACAAGGGGGGGATGGGGGGTGGACAACTAGAGAGCGGACAAAGAAAAAAAAAAGTTTAAAAGAAAAACTGAATTCAAGTACCTCTGGCACTCCTAACTATAAAAATAAATAAATATGAAGGTTTAAGATCACTTTAACTCCGGAGTTTACTGTCACTTTAAGTAATAAAAGTAGCAGCAGACAGGAGCCAAAATATTACCTTTTTAGAAGCATCAGCAGTAATGACCTCCGTGCTTCCATCTTGTCCACCATCTTGCTCTTGTGTGTTCAATTTGCTCGTGGTATCTGTTTGACAGGTAGAAGTGCTTTCGTCCATCATGCATGTATTGCTTGATTCTGCAGGCTCCTGATCATGAGCCTGGTCTTCAGTGAGTATGGCATGCAGGCATTGGCTTAAAGAAGGCATTGTACCCAAATGTGTTCTTATTTCTTGGTGAAAGAGTCTTACAAAATCACAAACGGAGTTTTCTGCATCGACTGTTTGGCTGTCCTTCCCGGACCATGAATTCCAACATGAATGGAAGTTATCAAAATAGTACTGAAACACTTCATCGGGGCAGGCAGCCTTCAAATCATTAAGGTACTGTGTGTAGGTGTCGGTGGAGGAAGCTTGGGCCAGGTTGACGAGCAGGTTTTTAATCTGAGACTGCTCCATTTGACTTAAGAATGAAATTTTCCGATGCATGAATTCAAACACAAATGGTAAGCAATGCTTTACTTTGACACTGGGAAACAGAGCCTGGGTATCCGAACAGTTCTGAATGTCCGGGCTCAGTGTCAAATACTTTAATTGCATGTTCAAATTAGGATTGACTTGCAAAAGAGAAAGCAGAACAAACTGTAAGGGCTCGGTGGAGTTTTTCCTGGCGATGCAATGAGCGCAGACTCTCCAGGTGAAATTCTCATCCTGACACAAGGCAGAATACAAAGAAAATTCCTGATTTAGACTTGGAAGATAGGCAATAAACAGGCGCTCGGAGAAATGCTGGAGCAAATTCTGCATGCCAGTTGTCATCAAGAAGATATTTCTCACTGTAAACTTTTCATCGGCATAAGTCAATTTCACCTTTGCGCCAGGATCGGTATTAAAAAGGGATTCCAGTTCATCCAGAAATTGAGATTCCCTGCCAAATGGGAAGTGTAAACGCAGAAGCTTTGTCAAATCAGCGCGATCCATGAATTTATCAGAGATCTCGAAAAACAACGTTGCTGGGGCTTCCACAAAGGGTTCGGGTTCTTTTGTAAAACGAGACGGAAGGTCTATCTCGGAGTCATGGCTATGATGGAGGTCAGCCTTTGTGATTATTAGTTTGTCCATTTCTGGACCCAGTCGTAGCTGAATAGTAGCTGGGCAGCGCTTCCTGTTAAAGAGACAAGACAGAAATTAAATGGATGCAACTGTATAGAGAATTAAACAACTGTGCTTAAAACAAATAAAAATAATACACACCCCACTGCACCTTGTATGACTTGAAGCGGCAAAAGGAGAAAATGGTAGAGAAACGTATCAGAAGAAAATTCTGAAAGCACAATAATGCCTTTTTTTCATGCAGATCAGGAGACGTTCCCATACCAATAATGTGCTATTTACATTCAAATCACAAACGTGTCAAACTTGTCCTAGTGTTGATAACCAGTGGCCTGTCAAGAGGGTGTCTCCTGGTACAACCAAGTCAGGCAATCATAGCCTGAAGTAAATAGGCCTGTGAGCTGCAAAAGATAAAATTCATCCTGGACAGGTTCACTTTAAAAGACAGCTCATTCAAAAAACGGATATTGAAAATGTTGGTTTATGTTTTAGAGCAGGGGTAACCAAACTCCGGCCCTCCAGTTGTGGTGAAACTACCAATCCCATGAGGCATTGCAAGACTGCCACAGCCACGACACCCAGAGACAGATGCCTCATGGGATTTGTAGTTTCAGCAGAGCTGGGGGGGCCGAAGTTTGGCTACCCGTTTTAGGGACTCCAGAAAAAGATCTCTACCCTTTGATTTACTGATTTGACCACATACAGCAGTAATGTCACTTTCTTTATTCACTTTTTGGCCTCATTCACAACTGAGCATTTTGTAGCACGAAGCTACAAAATGCTCATTATTAAAAATCCCTTTGTCTTCGTGAGCATTCAAGTGCCCGTACAGGAGCTTCTTTTCAGGCAGAACCTTTTTTTGGCTTTACATCTCTTTCGGGTCACAGGAGTTCATTTAGTGATGTAGGCGTGTGATGCAAAGTCAGCATACAGAAGGGGTTACTGACAGTGAAGAGCAGGGGTCTCAAACCTCCGGCCCTCCAGCTGTGGTGAAACTACAAATCCCATGAGGCATTGCAAGATTCTCACAGACATGACTCCCGAAGAGAGATGCATCATGGGATTTGTAGTTTCACCACAGCTGGAGGGCCGGAGGTTTGAGAACCCTGGTGAAGAGCCACGCTGCAGCCGGGAAGAATCCTGACAATATTGTCAAGATCCACACGGCCGCCTGATTGACTACCTGGAGCCAGAGCCAGCTGTGCACGCCCCCTTCCATCTGTCCTTCCAGTGAGAGCTGGACATCTCTGCAGGGAGAAACCATGAGACGAGTGATCAGTGGTTTTGTAATCACTCAGCTCTCAGTATATAGAGCCGACGTGTGACAGTAGAGTCCCACGCCAGCTCCAAGTAGCATATTTTACTCTCCCAATGCTTCTAAAGGCGCTTTAAAAACATGTTTGTGTGTTTTTCAGGCACTCCCATTTAAAAAGTCAAAAACTATTTCTGTACTAAAGCAGTGCATAAAAACACTTGGAAAAATAAATGCATGCACAAAAAGGTGAAAAAAAGAAAACAAAAAGCCTGTAAATCACTTTGCTATGCTCATGCTTAGCTGTGAATGCGGCCTTCCTTTCAAGTCATATTATGGAGACTCCAACAAGATGAATGAGAATCCCCTTTATCTGGAACAGTAAGAATTCAAGGTAGCAGAGAGAGTACAGACAGATCTGGCCACTGGAGCCATACAAGAAGCAGGTGGGTAATTCAAAGTCACCACCATCACCCAAAACCTGAAATCCATTTAGGACGCACAGTTTTAAAATCAAGCACGGAGTTACCTGGTATAACTGCTGCATCCAAGGTTCACCATACTGTACTTCAGAGTCTGCACTGACTCAGGGCTCATGTCTTCACTGCTCAAGGGCACAGAATTGCGAATGACAAATAATATTTTCCGTTCTTCACACCAAATGCTTAGAAAGGACTGAAAGTCATCCCAGCTGTAAAACTCCAATTGCTCCAGTTCATTTTTTACATCGCCACAAACCTGCTAAAATGACCAAGACAATGAATTAAGATGGTGCGTAACTGTACAGCTTTATTTCACTTCTCTATACTGACACAAAACACATATGGCTGACAATTGTACTTTTAGGACATTTTAGCTCATTTAATATGTCCATAGGCACCAAACAACTGAGCAAATTAGCCATCAGCTCTGTTTTTTTTTTTTCTTTCCTTCCGGAAGCCATCACCATAGGCCCAGACCAGTGTAAACATTGTTTCGTTTACAATCAGTTTTTTTGCAGTCTGCACTGTAACCGCAGAGAAAGAGTGTGAGAACAAGTGTTTCACATACCTGTATTTATTCACCTATGTTGACATGCTAAAATGTTCTGTTTTGTGTGCAGGCTGCTGTCCATATAGTGCCGACAGTGTGAAGTACTGCTTTGGACTGTGACAACGCAAAGCAATGTTTTCCTTTTTACCAACGTTAATTGAAAAGTGAAAGAGATTTCATTCACTTCTATCTACTGCAGCAGAGAGGTGACCAAAGCTGACATCAGGGGAGTTCTGTTGCATTGTGGAATAATGCAGTATGATTGCAATCTACCTCAAGGCAGTGATGTAGTGTGAACAGGGCGCATAATTGATTCCTATGTGCCCCTGCGGGGAGTTGATTTGGTGCAGAAAAGCCATCAGTCAACGCGAACAAATGCAAACGTACCCTTCAAAGCTGATTTTTGGATGACAATTTACCCACCTAATTAGTACAGATCACAAACGCCTACAAGCTGGCAGCTCCTGCACAAGTTTAACTAAGCCCAGCTCATATTGCTCCAGGTTTCCTAGTGCAAGAAAGCAAAATGCATATTGAGTGGAATCCCTAATGTATTCATTGTACTGCTCTGGAGATATGTGGTCCCCAACATGCAGCTAATCTCCTGCAGGGGCTGCCTGCTTGTAGAAATGTGTGATCCCCAATGACTGCACAAGTACATCGCAGCACTGGCCTGTGTCTTAGATACTTGGTATCAGGGTTTTGCTATGCAGTGGAGTTTTGAGACTTCCAGAGTCCTGAACATCTGCTTCTCTGCCACACACTGAGGTTCCTCTTGCTGGCTCCTAGGTCATCATATCGTGTACAAGTCTGAGGGAGATACCACAGCATGTGATGTGCAAGTATATGACACATCAAAAAGTGTTTGATACCTGCAGTAGCCGAGGAGTTTTAAATCACGGGCCACTGGAAGTATACAACATTTCCTTTCACAGGCTGCCTTTATTTTAGTGTCTTGGAATAGGAACAAAGTCCAAATCCCATTCGCACTGCCACGGTCTCAAGACGACCACACAGCAAAACACTAATAGTAAATAAAAGTAATTCACCGGCACACACTTGAAGGTTTTAAAAAGTATTGATATGTTTATTCAATACCAAATGTCACATACTGTCATATGGTGCTAACGTTTCGGGTCCGCACAGGGATCCTTCATAAGAGCGACAGTCACTCGCTGTATGTATTGAATAAACATATCAATACTTTAAAAACCCTTCGTGTGCCAGTGAATTACTTTTATTGGATTAGGAACAGACATGAGGACTTCCATTTTAAAGCAAAACTTCAGTCAATAGCAGTCTTAGTAATAGAGCATACGCAATATAAAATTGCTATTTTCAGTAACAAAATGATTTCTATACATGCGCTAGGTCCTGCTGTGTATGTTCATGAACACGTTCCTTTCCTGCTCCCAAGTTTTCTAGAAGTCCCCGTATTTTTCTGAAGTGGAAGCAGGCACAGCATTGAATGTTTCAGGCCCTTTCACATACTACTTGTGTATAGAATGAGAATGCTCCTACACTTACACCCATTGTAGGTCTTTTTTTTAGCACTGCCCTTGGCCCTGCTCTGTTGCATGCCCCTTCTGTACTGGCTATGTTGTTGTGCCCCCTCTGTGTGTCTATGGTGCAGCGCCCGTTTTACTTTTAAGCTGGCCATACACTGTTCTATTTTTTTTGCTCATCCTACAGGCTGGACGGACAAACAGATTCCTGATTCAATGCTTACGAGCACTGATGGAGGAATCTCATGCAGTTTCCTTTGTATTGGCTGCTGATTTTACGATCAGCTCCTTAGAGCAGCCGATCTAAGGATGCCAGCCAACAGGTTGCCAACAGTGGTACCAAAAACCAGCCGCAATTCACATTCTGTATGGCAAGCTTTAGTGCTCCTGCTTTCGGTTTCCAGCCCCACCACACAAGCCATGTGAGGTGCTGAGAAATCAGTTAATGACATGAGCAGACCAAGACATCTTGATAACTTTTCCCTGCTCTGCAAGACCTTTGATCTTTTTTTGCAGATGAGTAAAGCTGACAAGATACAGATCCAGATGCATAGATACATACACCTCGATGTTGCATATGTCAGGGGCGGACAAATTAATATGGAATCCAGCAGGATTTTTTTTTTTAGGAGCCAGTTTCATTGACAACAACTAGAGAAACCTCAAATGGTAGGCGCCAGCTGTAAATGCATTGGCTCCCTGGCTCCTGGGATTTGTCCAGACCAGCATATGTTTTATTATATTCTCATTTCTTGACTGAAGTTCTGCTATAAGGAGGCAGAGCTGTACCCTAAAGTATTTATCCTGCTGACTTGGCCAAAATTCAAGCTGTGGGTGGCCCAGTCGGCACCATTCCGCTCGACAAAAGACAATGTTTACAGTTGACTTATCGAAGGACCTGGGTTGAAAATTATCAGCCAATCAGCTGCAGTTACTGTTTGGGTATTGCGACAGTTGTGGGTGCCGCGCACGGGAGGTTTCCCCCAAATTAGAGCATCTTTTAGGTATAACATAATAGTTCACCATAAAATCTATGTACATTTAGTAATAAATACTTCTCTGACTATACCTCTTCAGAAGCAATAATAGTAGTTGTTGTTGTTGTTGCAGTAGTAGTAGCAGCAGCAGCATCAGCTGGTGGTGGTGGTGTTGTCGTTGTAGTGACAGGCACAATATCAGTATAGAACTCAAGTAAAGTATCCGGTACACTTTGTAACTCGAGGGTCTCACGTAAAATGACACAGAGGCACTGGTGCAACGATGGCAAAATCCCCATTTTTGATGAAAGTGTGTATTGTAGAGCCCCAGAGTAAGAATATAACGATTTCTCCGTTTTGACTCTGTTGTTGTCCTTTGTACACCATTCTTTTCTGTTAGGATGCCACGTGTCAATGTAGTACTGATAAACATCTACTGGGCATAAAGATCTCAACTCATTGAGGTGACGATTGTAGATTTTTAGGGAACGGGCAAAACACAGGGCTTGTAAAACATTTTTAATCTGTGACTGGGTGGGAGGTGGTAAATGAGCAATCTTCCCCTCGATCACTCTGACAATTAGTGACATGCAGTGCTTGATAGTGGCATTCGGTACGAGGTTATTCAGGTCTCTGAAATCGGCGATCTCTGGATGAATTGTGATAGTTTTGATCTGAACTTTCATTTTTGGTATACTTTGCAAAACAGAAACGATGAGAAATCTCACTGTGTCCTGGTTGATGGTTTTTGATATGCAACAAGCACACATGTTCCAACCAGACTCATCCTCACAAGACACGCTGTACATGTTCAGTCCTGGGCCAATATTAGTTTGCAGATCAACATAAAGATTTTCAGGTGATCTTTGAGCGTGTTCCTGCATAGAAGAGGACATAACAAAAATGTTCTTCACCAAAACAGTGTCTTCAACAAACACCAACTTTATTTTGGCACTTGGATCGTGAACAAAGAAACTATCCAGTTCCACCAACACCTGAGTATGATCTTTAAGGAAATTTGAAGCAATTCGTAGGAGCCGGCACAGATCGCTGCGATCCAAGAACTTTCTGGAGATATCATTGGAGATTTGAGCAATTCCTGCAAGACTGACCGATCTCGCCTTTCTTGGCTCTTGTACAGCCATGCTTGGTAAGCAACACAGTTCCACGTAATCTGGGCTTCTTTCTGTAGACTGTTTTCTGCTTGAGGTTGGATTCCCACAATATTTAGTTCAGTCTAAAAGTAAAAAAAACAAACAAAACGTATATTATATATTAGCTGAAACCCAAGGTGTCAAAAGTGCAGCAGTGTTGGCGACACATTCATTTATTTATGCAGTAGGAGAAATTCAATGCAGTTTCACAAAGAACTCATTTCATCAATCCCTGCCTCCAAAAACGAGCTTGCCATATGTACTCTCTACACAATATGGGAGAAAACCAGTTTATCTACTATTCTGTTTTATTGCTGTGCAAGAAAAAACTGAACTACCCTTAGGTAACCATACATGCATGGAGAGTTTAGATATACCCAGTGCAGTGTCCCTCTATAAAAGTGAACACTGTTCGCCTTTGCTGCAAGGCATAGTAAATTGTATGACACCATGCTGCCCTACAGGGTCAAAATAAAAAAGGGCATTTTTAGTTTTAGCAGCTGACTGATTACTACTGCCTCTGAATGCTTGGAACCAACAGTAGTTTTCCTAACAGACCCCGGATGTTTCCCATTTACAATAGAAAAATAGTCCTCAATCTCCTTCTCTGCAGCCCCAGCACTGAATGAACAGGAATCCTCTATACCAGGGGTAGCCAAACTCCGACCCTCCAGCTGTGGTGGAACTACAAATCCCATGAGGCATTACAAGATTCTCACAGCCACAGGTATGACTCCCAGAGAGAGAGATGCATCATGGGATTTGTAGTTTCACGAAAGCTGGAGGGCCGGAGTTTGGCTACCACTGCTCTACACTATACTGAGTGTTCCTGTTCATTCATACATTGTGGAGATCGTATGAGTTACTGTGTACACAATCATGAATGAATAGGTGACGTAGATCACTTCCTATTCATTCATAACTGGTACATAACATATTACGTCCAGATATTTACAAACATTCAGAGATCACTGAATGGTTGTACTCCGCTCTCCATCCTGACTCGCTGTCACAGGAGGCTGAGCGTGCAGTGCGGGGAGGAAAGCCCAGTCTCATTTGACAGCCGATTCCGCCAACTCACCTCAGGCCCGGTCTCCAGTGACAGCTGACTCTGCCCACACACCACTCTTCTGATCAGGGCAGTGCTGGAGGAGAGCGCAGCCTCCTGCACAGATCAGGAAAGCCGTGCATGTTTGGGGTCGTTGTTCTTGCGGCAGAATACATTTGGAGCCAATCACACGCCTCCCTGATGGTATGGCATGCTGGATAAGTATCTGCTTGTATTTCTCAGCATTGTGGACACCATTGATCCTGACCAATTCTCCAACTCCACTGGCAGAAATGTAGCCCCAGACTTGCAAGGAACATCCACCATGCTTCACTGTTGCCTACAGACACTCATTACTGTACCGCTCTGCAACGCTTCTGTGAACAAACTGCCTCCTGCTACAGCCATATATTTCACATTTTGACTCATCAGTTCAGAGCACCTGCTGACATTTTTCTGCACCCCAGTTCCTGTGTTGAGTCGCGTAGCCTTGTTTCCATGTCAGAGGCATGGCTTTGTGGCCACAGATAAATGGCAGCAGGTGCTGTGGACTGATGAGACAAAATGTGAAATATCTGGCTGTAGCAAGAGGCAGTTTGTTCACGGAAGGGCTCGAGAGCAGTACAATAAGGAGTGTTTGCAGGCAACAGTAAAGCATGGTGGAGGTTCCTTGCAAGTCTGGGGCTTTATTTCTGCAACTGGAGTTGGAGATTTGATCAGGATCAATGCTGAGAAATACAAGCAGATACTTATCCATCATGCCATATCATCAGGGAGGCGTGTGATTGGCTCCACATTTATTCTGCAGCAGGACAACGACCCCGAACATACAGCCAATGTCATTAAAAACTATCTTTATCGTAAAGAAAAACAAGGAGTCCTGGAAGTGATGGTTTGGCCCCCACAGAGCCCTGATCTCAACATAATCTCAATCTCAACACAAATGGAACCAGAAATCTCAAGAGACATAGCCGCACTCTTGAACGACTGTGGCGAAAAACTAGATCTCTGCAAGACTTCACCCTGCACAAAGCGACCCTCCTAAAATATAATTCCTTCCTCTGTGCTGCCAAACAGACTTATTTTGTCACGCTCATTAACAAACTCTAATCCAGAAGACCTCGCCAACTCTTTTCTACTTTTAACTCTTTACTATGTGCTCCACCGCCACCACCCACTAACTCACTGCCCAGGACATTGCCATTCATTTCAAAAACTAAATAGATACAATTCGGGATCAGGTTTAGCGTCACCTACAAATCTAACTCCTCCCCTCCTCTTCCTGTATGGGTCCCCCAGGCTCTGTCCATGGACCCCACGGCTTCCAATACCATCTCTATGCCGATGACACTCAAATCTATCTTTCTACTCCACAACTCACCCCCTCAGTGTCCATGTGTGTCACTAATCTACTAACTGACATATCCGTCTTGATGTCACAACACTTCTTAAAACTCAATCTTTCAAAAACTGAGCTCTTGATATTTCCTCCACCCCTCCCCCAACTTTTCCCTTGAGATTGTTAACACAACTATCCACATTACTCATCCACTCGCTTGTTATATCTCATTTTGACTATTGCAACTCCCTCCTCATTGGCCTTCCACTACACAGGCTATCCCCCCCTTCAGCCTATCATGAATGCAGCTGCTAGACTCATTCACCTGACCAACCGCTCAGTGTCTGCAACCCCCCTCTGTCAATCCCTGCACTGGCTTCCAATAGCCCTAAGGATAAAATTCAAAATATTAACAACCACTTACAAAGCCATCCACAACTCCGCCCCCGGCTATATGTCCAACCTGGTCTCAAAGAATCACTCTAACCGTCGGGTCATCCCAAGACCTCCTGCTTTCCAGCTCCCTTGTCAACTCCTCCCATGCTCGCCTCCAGGACTTCTCTAGAGTCTCTCCCATCCTCTGGAACTCTTTACCCCCAACCTGTCCGTCTGTCGCCCACCTTGACTGCCTTTAGGCGTTCCCTAAAGACTCATCTCTTCAGGGAAGCCTATCCCACCTCAACATAACCACTGAACCATCACATTCTCAAACAATTCATCCCCACACAGCTCCCTCCTCATGTATCACTTTACCCTCCCTTTTAGATCGTAGGCCCTCCTTACCATCTTGTCTTGATTTGTATTGTGATTGTAATGTCTTCTTTATATTGTAAAGCGCTGTGCAAACTGTTGGCGCTATATAAATCCTGTATAATAATAATAATAGGGTCTGTCTGGGATTACATGAAGAGCAGCCTATAGCCACAGAAGATCTCTGCTTAGTTCTCCAAGATGTTTGGAACAACCTACCGAGTTCCTTTAAAAACTGTGTGCAAGTGTAACGAGAAGGCGGCAAAGGGTGGTCACACCAAATATTGATATCATTTGGATTTCTCTTCTGTTCATTTACTTTCCATTTTGTTAATTGATAAAATAATAAACAACTATCACTTTTATTTCTGAAACATTCTTACGTTACAGCATTTTTTCACACCTGCCTAAAACCTTTGCACACCCTAACTGTGCTTTACCTGGGCTTGGTCAGCCACAGTAGCTGTTTTGTGGACACGCTATTTAAACAGGAGTTTCTAATATTCATATTTCAAAAGGAGCACATGATTTGTGTCAAATAAAAACTATATCTAACCATTCAACAGTAGAATTTTATTTGAAAATGTTCATTTTTGAAAATATCCGTTTGATCTTCCAATGGTTAGTGGGGTCTAAATCGACATTCATTTTTCGGTGGTATATACAAGGAAAACTGAAGCAGCAGGATGGAAATTTGTTCTTGTTTCTTATCTGAATAAATGACATTCTAAATGTAATTTTCATTTGGCAAAGATTTGTACATATTGTAACACGCACCTGTTTAATACAACTGGGAGTCTGTTCAAGAAGCAGATATAAGGGATTTCAACCTAAACGAGTTGAATTAGTGATTGCATCATCTAAAGTTCTGATGAACAATTTTAAACCAACGTTTGAATAAAATTCTAACAGTGTATGGCCACCTTAAATGTTGACTAGTCAAACCACCCCTTGCCACACCCGCAGGCAATGCACTAACTCCCCACCTAGGTCCTCCAGGGTTTCATAAATGACAACAAAATTCTCTTTTGACTTTGAGTCCCTGATGATTAATTAAGAGGTGATAATGAAGACTGGGGGTCCACAGTATACAGCTCCACTCAAGCCAATAGGTTCTCAGTGTACAGGCCTAGCCAGTGCTGAATAGAATTTAAACAATATATATCACCCCCGAGTAAAGGTGGAGGCAGAGCAGTGATGTTTAGTATAAAGTACACCTGTATTTGAAGGTGTTCATAGGCAGACAGCCGATATCGAGATGTTGATCTAATTAGAGGTGCACCGAAATGAAAATTTCAAAACCAAAACCAAAATAAAGAAAAAATGTCAGGCCGAAACTGAATTTTTTTTTTATTATTATAAACTTTTTTTTTTTTATTAAATATTTTTTACTTTACTTTTTAAGTA